ACAGCTTGACTTCTCATCCTGTCAGCATAAGAAATAAAAAGAACAAGTATTTGGTCCTGTCTAGATAGAACACCAATATTCACCTTACATCCAGACTATGCAGATGTTCTTCATTGAATGCAGCTTCAGAAAAAAAGATTGGTAAGTATATAGTCTTGTTTAAATGAAATGTCAATGCTAGAGATAAAAAGTTGTGGATGTGGCCTCAAAACTACTTTATCCTTGCGGGGGAGGGGGAAGGAAAAAAAAAGCGCACATAAGGAGGCCCTACCACTCTTTTGGCCAATAGAATGGTCATTTGGAAGGATGTCTGACAGATGGGCCAAGAACAGTGGCCAAAACTCAAATGGAGAACCCATCAAAACAGCCAACACAATGTTGGAGGTCCCAAAGAGGTACTGTATCTTTAACAGGAGGAAAAAGCCAAACAATCCCTTAAAAATTATCTAGAAATCATGGGGCTGGGAGGCAAAGGTGGAGAGGAGAAGAGGTCACCTGGATAGGGGGATGGATAGCTGAGATCACTGCTAAGTGAAACTTCAGGTTGGTTAGCAAAAGACCTGAGGATCTGAGGTGCCACAGGTACTCTAGAATGTCCTGAATCTTAGCCTCTGCGATTGTATTCCATGGAGATTGGACTATATAGCAAAAAAATGCTTCCATTTAGCCACAATCGGTGGGGCTAGTGAATTGCTGCCTATTACGCAGTATTTCTTGAACTGCCACTTAGTAGTTTTTTTTTCCACTTGACCTAATCACTCAACATCCAAGTTGTGAAGTGCATATTGCTGGGATTTGGGTGCAACATCTGTCCATGTTGCTGGGATAGCAGATCCATGAATGAGGGTAGAGTTGAGAGGCTGAGAAGTTCAGGGAACTAGCATGGTCTTGACCAACCTGACATAAGAATCATCTTGGCATGACCCTTTCTATTTGAGTATATTCTCAGGCATGAGTAGGATGGGGGAGGAATGCATACATATAAACCCAGTCCCCCATCTAAGAAGAAAGGTATTGTATAGGGAGATTGAACTGAGGTCCACTTGAGAACAAAATTGATGCCATTTCTAGTTGTCCTTTGTTGTGAACAAGAGGACTGTTGGAACACCCAGATTTGGAAAATGGCCTTGAAAATATTGTTCAAGGGAATCACTTGTGATTCAGGCAGAACCTCCTGCTGAGGTGATAAGCAGCCAAATCTGGGAGCCAGGTAAGCGAGTGACAGTGGGAGTAATGCCTTTCCTGATGCAAAAGAACCATAGCTTCCTGAAAAAGCTGATCAGATTGTGCCACTCCCTGTCAGTTTAGGTAGTACATTGCATTTTTATTGTCATGTAGTATCCAGAATGACAAGCCCTTGATGTAAGGGAGAAACATGTGGCAAGCCCTGTGAATTGCCCAGAGTGAGGACAGTGATAAGAAGAGTCACTTCACGCTCCATCCATAAAGCGTGGGTTTGCAGCCACTCTAGATATGCATCTCAACCTATCAGAAAGATTAATGACCGTCTTGAAAGGAAGGGGGAGAGAGAAAAAAAGTGTACCCCTCCCCCCCACAAACACACTTGAGTCATCCACCATTCCAGGGAACACAGGAGCACTAGAAGTACTTGGATCAACTTGTCTAAAGGTGTCTGTTCAGTTGATAGACTAGCTTTAGCCAAGTTTGAAGGGAGCACACATACAGCCAGCATATGTTGGGTCACATAAGGCTCAGTGGTCTCAGATGTACCTGGACTGCATGGTGGGGTGTGATCTGAGGGACATGCACAGGTGGCGAATGGCCTGAAACCTGTAGTGAGGGAGGAATACCATCGAGCTTGTAGAATCAAGTAGTCCCCACATAGAAAATATGGCCCTAATTTGGATTTGCCTTTATGCAGCATGAAGCCCAGACAAATCAAAGAAATGGATGATGACTTGAACATGGTAGAGAGCCTGCTGTTTGGATTTGCCCTGCACCATCTAATTGTCCAAATATGAGAAGATGTGAATTCCCCTCTTCCTCAAACAGACCACCACCACCAGGAACATGGTGAATACACACAGGAATGACAACAGGCCAAAGGGAAGTACTGTGCATCAATAGTGTTGACCTGCTACTTCAAATCTCTGGATGCTACCAAGTCACAGGCGGTAGGCATCCTGGAGATCAAGGGCAGCAAACCAGTCTGTCCTATACGGCAATGAATGATTGACACTAGAGAGACAATCAAAATCTTATGTGCTTGATTAACTTGTGGAAATTTCAAGGATCCAGTACGGAGCACAGATCCACTTTGGACTTCAGGGGATCAGAAAATATGAGTAAAACCCCTTTCCCTGATGTGGATGGGGAACAACTTCTTTAGCCCAGAGAGAGCAGAATCTGAACTTCTTGACAGAGCATTGACTCATGAGAATGATCCCTGAAGAGACAGGGTAGGAAGGGTGATTGGACAGAAGCTTCATAGAATATCCTAGTCTCAGTCATCCATTGTTATAGCTTCCCAAGCATTGAGGAAGTGGGACAATCAGTCCCCACATGGAGGGAGAGGAAATCATAGGAAGATTCCTGATTACAGTATTGCTGTCCTCAAGGAAGAAGTCAAATAGGCTGCTACCCCCAAGAATGACTGGTTTGAGGGTCTTCTCTTCTGTGATGTGCACTTCCATCTTGAAAACTCATTCTAACTTGATGGGTACTGCCTATAAACACTGGCGTTGATACTGCTGTTGATGTGATCTGTATTGACACCTCTTGGGTGCTTGGGCATAGATCCCCAAGGAGCCAAAGGGTACCCAGAGAGTCCTTAAATGAATGTAAAGTCTCATTGGTCTTCTCTGAAAAGACAGACAACAACAAAATCCATCCAAACTTGATATTCTCTATAGTTTGCTGAGTGTCTGGGGCTATGTTCAAGTTATGCAATCACAAGGCTTTCCTCACTGCTATTGCAGAGGCCATCATCATCCTAAAAGAAGTGTCCACTGCATCAAATAGACTGAAGGGATGTTTTGCCTATGATGCAGCCTTCAAGTAATGCCCTGAACTCCTCCTGTGCATCCTCCAGAAGGTTGTCAGTAAACCCAGACATTGCATCCCTGTTAACAAAGCTGTATTTCACTAACAGCATCTGCTGGTTTGCTACGTGCATCTGGAGAGAGGATGTGGAATACATTTTTCTCCCAAACAATTTGGCCCTTTTTCACTGGGGGTTGATTTAAGTCTTCCTGGACACGCTCTCTCATTGGCAGCTGTAACCACCAAGGAATTTGGAGCAGGAAGAGAAGAAAAAGCATGCAAAGTCTTGCAACAGGACACGATAATGTTTGTCTGTGAGCTCAGCTGTGAGAGCTAAAAAAGCTGGCATGTTCCATAAAGTCTTTGCTAGCTCTAGAAGAGTGTCATTAATCGAGAGGGCAGACACCTGGAGAATGAATACAAGCTTGTGAGTGTTTCTCTTGTACAAGCTCGACTTCTATGCTTAAATCTGCCACCATTCTCCTCAGCAGATCTTGAGAGCCTAAAGTTCTCGGGGACCAGAGAAGAGGAGTATGGCATCATCAGGTTTTCAGGTGAGGAGAACCATAGGTGCAGACTCCAGGGATGAAGCATCCACAGGAAATAAATAAATAAATAAATAAATAAATAAATAAATAAATAAAAAGATAGTGAGTTCTGAGCACTCACTGGCAGCCCCATGGATCAGTCTACTGGGTACCAATGGCTAACTATTTATAAGGAAGGTAGAGGGCCAACTGCAGAAAAAAGAAAAAAAAAGGGGGGGGGGGGAACTTCACAGGTAGCTCCAGCTCAGGCCATGGGCAGTGAGAAGGAATTGAAGGGGACTGGGTGGTGCTGCCCTTATATAGCCTCAGGAAGGGCAATGAGGAGAGACGGGGTGTGTACACCAACCCAATGGGTATGGCTGCACAACAAAAACAAAAAACAAACACCTTTCCAGCTCCAGAGTGCTGGTTGCATTCACATTTAAGATGATATGTGCACCACCCAAAGAACTAGACCCTTGTCCAAAGAACCCCAACTCCACATGTGAGAGAGGGTGCATAGAAGAGATACTACAGCAGTAGCCATGGAATCTCTGTTCAAGTACTTTAAAGCCTTGTGGCAGATGAGTATTTTGTTCCCCTATCCCCTA